CTATAGATAGATAGATAGATAGATAGATAGATAGATAGATAGATAGATAGATAGATAGATAGATAGATATTTATTTATATGTGTGTGTGTGTGTGTTTTAGCTCTTTGTAACAGTTTAGCCTAAATGGGCTATTGACAATCATTTCTAAAGCAGATCTTCTAAAAAAAAATAAAAATAAAAAAAAACACGTGGTGTTTCACTACCCCCAGCGTGGTCCAAATCCTGTCTTTGGGACCCACAGCTGTAGGCTCTTTCAGGGTTCTCGAGTGTAATTTGCTCCATAAAAACAAGGGAGGCATAGATTCCAGTGTTACACAGTGACATCTAAACAGACTCCAAAGAAAATAGTCCGTCCTTCATGTGTAATTTTGTTGTGTTTTAACAAAGGCATGTTGAAGACATTGTATCAAGACGTCAACAAATCTTGTCAACTTGTAAACAAAGTGTGTGATATGCCTTTTAAAGTTAAGATTTTCTACACATAACATTGTGTTGACATTTTTTTATTTACTTTTCCCCATTTACTCAGCTGCTATTGTAGTAGCAATAAAAGACAATCTTGCAACTTTAGTTATATTCATTTTTGCTGTACATCCTAAAAAGTCGTAGGGTGAGAATCAAACAGTATGAAGAGCAAGGATGTTTGTGTTTCAGGATTACAGATGTTTTTTCACTACAGTTGTCCTTCACTATATCACAGTTCACTTGTTGTGGCTCCACTGTATCACATGTTTTTTTAAACCTGTCTATTTACGTATATTGTGTGTACTGTAACATGCTGCACAGTACTCAATCATCTCATCATCATCTTCATCGCCAAAGTTTTTTTAAGAGCATATGAGATGTTTATAAGAGAGTAGGAAAGGTTTGTAGGTGTGTGGGAAAAGGTTTTATAAAGCCTTAAGTACATATATAAATAATAAAATAAATATAACACTGCTACTTCATGGATTTTCACCTTCCATGGGGGTCTCTGGAACGTAAGCCCCACGATAGGTGAGGGATCACCTTAAAAATGATGTGGGTTCATTTGTAAAGTTTGAAATGTTTTTTATTTTATCATTTACACACCCTTCATGGACCTCATGACCTCAATATAAGTGTGCCAGCTTTGTGTGTGTGTGTGTGATCCCTTACCTCATGCCACAGGTAGTGTTGGACATATTTGCTCTGTGGTTAATCAGTTACAAGCCCATGGGACCGAGGAAAGGACAAACCAATGGACAAAATATTTTTTTTATTCTCCCAGGTGGATTTAAATATACCGTAAATAAATATCTCACCAAGCTGAACTCATCACATATATAATAAAGAGATAACGAGATTTTGCTCTATGAAGATTTTTTTTTAATAGAATGCCTTTTGTTAAGAAAACTTATTTATCGACAATATGTTTTTTTTCATTTGCCAGCCATGGCAAATCACACACACGCACACACGCATGCACGCACGCGCGCACGCACACACACACACACACACACACACACACATACACACACAAGGCTCCACGTGCAGTAAATTGTGTTATATAAGCTCATATATGTTAAAACAGTGGGAGAGGAGGTCGGGCACTGTTCCAAATGTTGTTACAGTTGATAAAAAATTAATTACTTGGTGGTCAAATAAAACAATAAACAGTGACAGTGCATGGCTCACTCACTTCGTTAAATGAGTCTGTGGCTGAGCAGACTCAATATTTGACCAGAAATTTCAAGATGAGGCAAAAACAGAAGAAATCTGCTTCTCAAGAAGAACAAGATGCATCTGGTCGCAGTACTATGGATTAGTGGTTAGCACTGTTGCCTCACAGCAAGAAGGTCCTGGGTTTGATTCCTGGTTTGAACCTGGGGGGTTTCGGAGTGGAGGTTGCATGTTCTCCTCAAGTTTGTGTGGGTTTTCTCCAGGCACTCCAGTTTCCTCCCACATTTCAAAACATGCGTCAGGCCCAGGCCTCCCTTGCAAAAAAGTTCTGTGATCTCAGTGAGAGTTGCCTGGTTAAATAAAGGTAAATAAATAAAAGCCTTTTGCAGTAGGGTTCTAAAGAAATGATATAAACAAATAATATCTTACCTGTTGCAGATAGTTCTTTAAAATATCTTTTTAGAGACAAGCTAACTGCTAGTTTGTGCTGGAAAAAAGTGGATTGTTGCCATCTTGATCCAATCATCTTGAATGGGTTTCACTCCAATTTTTAAAAATTACTAAGCGATCGATTCATAAGCTATTTTAAAAACATTTACCCCCAAAGCCAGTTTCACTTTACATAATTAATTTGGTAGAAGAATTACGTCTTTGAAGGAAGAGCCCAAAACTGCTACCTGCTGCTGCTACTTGTGTTTACAAACACCTACAGAAACCAACGTACAGCAAATAATCAGGTAACAGTAAGCTAACTGCAGGATTAAACTATTTCTCTAATCTGAGGTTGTTAGAAGAGCTATCTGCAACAGGTAAGATATTAACTGTTTATAACATTTTCTGACATAATTCCACTTCAAAAGATCTGCACTATCACTTGAAAAATGTTCTGATGAATTAAGCTCCTTTAAAATGTACATAAGACCCAAATATCAAAAGCAATTTTTACACATAATTTTGAAATTAATGATTTATTTTTTTTTATGCAAAGACCAAGCTAGTGCATCTATTTATACCTCAATGAGACTTGGACAAGCAACTGTTTAATTACTGCAGAGACTTTTTTCATCCGTGACTACATCAAGCAAGATTGATGCCGAGGTTAAAGAGTGCATTCGCAATAAAAACCAGAAGAAGGTGGAAAAAGTGGTAGGAGGAGAGAGGATGGAGGGAGAGGATTATTTGACCAGAGTGCTGAGAGAAAGCACCTCGCACCTTATCATGGATAAGTAAACACCACGCTCAGTCTGGAGTGACATCATTGTCCCTGAAAATCAATAACTAGCCACTTCCTGTGCAGGGAAAAACCGATGACTCTTGTCCACTAGATTACCTATCTTTGCCCACTCACCTGCAGAGGCTCACACAAAAGTGTACACACACACACACTGCAATGCACACAATGTATGCACATACTGTACTGTAGGGTAAATACATAGAAAACATTCAGAGAAACAAACCATCGTTGAAAGATTTGCATCGAGGGGCGCAACATTTGTGTGGCTCCAGTGCCGAGTCAGCCCATTATGGGATTAGCGGCCAGCAATGCGCAGGGTGGGCCTACTATCGAAGTTTAAAGAGGATAACGGCTCTGCCAAATCAGATTGCTATCAGCTATCCCACAAAAATACGTACACAAACACAAGCAGCAATATGCAAATCTTCCAGATCCCTCCAGCTTTCGTCTGGTTTGTCTGTGAGCCTCTGTTCTCTGTGCTTGTTTTTCTCGCTCAGATTGTCATTGTGCAATAAAAGTTTGAGTTCAAAGTTTAAAAGGTAATAAAATCGAATGAGAAAAGAAAGAAAAACAACATTTCAAATGCAACAGGTATTTAGCTTTGCTCAAATAAAACTTCTTGTAAAATTGTCGCAAAACAAATGTCTGGAATGTGGCCTGAGCTCTAAAGCCCACGGAAAGTCAGAACCGTAGCTGAAAGAGCTCTCTAGATTCTTTCAGCTAAAGAAAAAGAA